GATCAGCCAGGTGACATCACTGATGGCGTCAAGTGTGGCAGCAGTAGTGAGGTTGGCCCAGGATCGGACATTGTTTTGTTCTGCTGTGCATGGGGTTGCTATGAGTCGGTTCCAACTCGATGGCACCTGACAACAACAACATATCTGTTCATGTCAGTAGTTTGAATTTTCAAAGACGTGAAATTGCTGAGTCATAGGGTATTTTTGTTTCTAGCTTTTTTAATGAAGCATCATACAGTATTCCATAGTGGTTGAGCCAGTTTACAATCTCACCTGTTCTCTTATTCATACCTATTTTGTCCAGTAATATTTGCCATCATTAAATAGAAATGTTAATAGCATTTTAGATATAAATTCTGATTTATTCTTGAAGGCTGGTGATACTTTCCCACAGCCAAATTTTAATTATCACACTAGGCATTGATTTTCAGCCACAATATACATGTGTGTGTGTATATATATATTATGTATATGTAGTCCTGCTGTGTCCCTGCAGGATAATGTGCTGGACCTCAAGGTTAGTTTGAACCACGTCTGTGGTTTAAACTTAACAGCCACTCCTCGGAAACCCTATACAAGGTCACTGTGAGTGGGAACCAACTCGACGGCACTTAACAACAACAATATATGTATGTGTGTGTGTTATTGTAGTCAAGTCGGTACCGATTCATGGTGACCCTATATAGGGTTTCCGAGGAGTAGCTGGTGAGCTTGAACTGCCGACCTTGCAGTTCAAAGCCACCGTGCAGTTCAAAGCGACCTTGCGGTCCAGCGCATTTATATCTATATATCTATAGATATAGATATATGTCCTGGTGTGGCTCTGTGGATTAATGCGCCAGACTGCAAAGCTGTTTGAACTGCAAGGTTGGCGGTTCAAGCTCACCAGCGGCTCTTTGGAAACCCTACACAGGGTCACTATGGGTTGGAACCGACTGGACGGCACTTAACAACATATGTTGTTGTTGTTTGTTATACATATATATATATAGAGAGAGAGAGAGAGAGAGAGAGAAACAGAGAGTGTCCCGGTGTGGTGCTGTGGGCTGATCTGATAAACAATATGTTGCAACAACAACAACATATTGTTTATCAGATTGGAATTGGAAACAGTATGAACTCATGTGTATGTTCATACCTGTGTATTTGCTCACCCAGGACAGTGCAGACTCTACACACACACACACACACATACTGCAGGGCTCACACACACTTCTCCCACCCAGCAGGTCAACAAGAGCCAAGTGCATGTTCTCTACTCCACCCCTGCCTGTTACCTCCAGGAAGTGAACAAGGCCAACCTCACCTGGTATTTGGGGAACCACAGAGAACTAGGTTAGTATGCCCTGTGGCTGTGACCCTGCCCTCAATGCCCCCCACCCCGCCTCTGCAGGTCGGTGAAACAGGATGACTTCTTCCCTTATGCTGATTTCCCCAACCAGTTCTGGACCGGCTACTACACTAGCCGGCCGGCCCTCAAACGTTATGAGCGCCTCAGCTACAACTTCCTGCAGGTCGGTAGGCGCCTAGCTCCAGGGATTGGCCCGAGGGTCCCAGGTTAGCCTGACCAACCCATTACGCTCCTGCCTACCAGGTATGCAACCAGCTTGAAGCGCAGGTGGGACCTAAAGCCAACAGCAGACGCTATGGCTTTGGAAGCAGTAAACGACTCAGTAAGTGTTGGAAACAGTCTGTCTCTCAGTAGCCTAGAAGTGAGGTGGGACTGGGGCTAGACCTGTCATTCCTCCGTCCTTTAAAGTTCCCAAGATCCCTTCCTACTGGCACTTGATCAACTTCCTTCCAACGTGTCCAGCGGAGGCCCCGCCCGGTTTACCGTTCCTCCCCTAGGAGAGGCGATGGCTGTGCTGCAGCACCATGACGCCGTTAGCGGCACCTCCCGGCAGTTTGTGGCTGATGATTACGCGCGCCAGCTCGCTGAGGGCTGGGGAAAATGTGAGGTGAGGAGGCAGGGCCAAAAGGGGCGGGCCTGCGGGGCTATGGTGGGCGGGGCATGGAAGAGAAAGCGATAAAAGCAAGTAGTCCCAAGGTCAGTAACACTGGGCTTTGATCTTGCTACGTGGGAGACGCCCCAAAGCGGGCAGTGCATTGAAGAAAGGTCAGATCAGACTCGTCCCTCTTTGCTCCTGCTAGGTGCTCCTGAGCAGCGCCCTGGCGCAACTCATCGGCTCTGAAGAGCAGTTCACGTTCTGCCACAAACTCAACTACAGCATCTGTCTGCTCAGTCAGACAACCTCGCGCGTAAATCTACTCTCTGGAAGGAGAGGCGTGGCAGGGAGGGGTGTTTTTTGGATGACATTATTCGCTTGTAGGGATGGGACCAGGGCGGGACAAGAGAGCCAAGACCTGGTGGGTACAACTTGATAGTCAGGAAGCCCAGTCCTGACACCTAGTTGTTTGATGAGTGACGCAAATGTGGGACCCGTCAGTTACAACAGGAAAAACCAGGGAGTCCTGAGTCAGCCCAGAGAGTAAATCGGTAGGTAAAGCTCTAGCAGGAAGATCCACTGAGCCGCACCATACACAGAAAAGAAAATTGGTCAACACAGGTAGAAACTGGGCCAGGGTCAAAGAACTTTGACAACAAGGACACCGATGGCAGGTGAGGGTTGATTACACGTGGGAACAGAGACAGGGACAGAGACTCCCAATTAGGCCAGTGCAGGTAGACCCGTCCACATAGACTGGGTCCTTAACGGAACTGAACTGGTCAACACCACCAGTCTCATGCAAGGACAAGACCTGGCACAGTAGTTGATACAAGGCCTAAGCTAATATAAGCCTCTCCCTACCAACTATCCCAGTTCCACATCATCGTCTACAACCCCCTGGGGCGCCGGGTGAATTTGATGTTGAGGCTACCAGTCAGCACAAGCAATTTCCTTGTGCTGCACCCTAACGGACAGACCGTGCCCAGCGAAGTGAGTCCTCACTTATATCTCATCCTATGAACACTCACCTCCATGAATGGCTCCCACTCATGACTATCTGCTCTGAAGAATATATCCCAAACAAGATGTCCCATCATGAACTTCTCTCCCAGAAATATCTTCCTACCTCTTGTGAAGATCTACCCCTACTTACATGACTATATTTTACCTGTTGGCAACCCTACCCCATGAATAAATCCCCCTCACTCTCCTATCTCACTGGTTTTTACGCCATTAATGGCTCTCCCTTCTTCCTTATGAATCTCCTCCTAAACTCAAGCTAATATTTCTTACCTCATTCAATTTTTCTCCTTACCCTAGGAACTCTCCCTAAACTAGTTTGACTCGTCCCAACCTATATATAGAATGTGGGTATATGTGTACATCACTAGACCTCTGCCTCAGTATCCCTCATTCTGTGGAATTAGGTTGTAAATTATCCAGTCCTGGACAACAGAAATCAGCATCCGGTTCTGCACAGTCTACAACACCCTCCAGAGCTGCTGTTCACAGCCTCCGCACCTGCTCTGGGATTCACCGTTTACTCTGTGATCCAAGTCCCTGAAAAAAACAGCCGGACTGGCCCCACCTGGTTGAGGCCACAGAATTCACAATCTTCTGATCTAGTCATTGAAAATGAGGTGGGACCTTAACTTTGAACCATTTCCCTCCATGACATACGCGAATTCATTTTTCTGTTTCATATTGACCCAGAAGTAAGAAAGCAAATTATGTCCTAGGAGAGACAGAATGAATAAAAAGGATAAATGATGTGTTGTTGGTGAGAATATCGTAGGCTTCCTGGAGAGACATGTAAACAAGAACAGAGATTGTGTATTGTCAGGGTGGGTAGGTGGCAATTTTTGGACAGGACTTCCAGGGGAAGTCTCCTTGAGAAGAGAACACTTCAGCATGCTCTTGAGAGAGGTGAGCAATATGAGGCTTGCAGAGAGCACTCCAGAAAAATGACTAAGCAGGGACTAAGACCCTGATCAATGTTTCTGGGCTGTGTGAGCTATATGTTGCAAACCAATGTGACTGGAGCAGAGTGAGCGAAGGGAAAGTTGAGAGGAAACGAGGGCAGGGAGGTGACAGACAGATGGTTTAGGGCCATGAGGACTGAAGAAAAGATTTGCCTTTTTTTAGTGAGGTGTGGGACTTCAGACAGCACTGCCCAAAGAAGGAACATGACCTCCTTTGGGTGTTAATGGTTTTCTGTACTCTGTGGAGAAAAACCAGTAGGCATCATGGGGGGAAGCCAGGAGGCAAGGGAAGAAGTGACAGCAGTAATTTTGTGGGAGATGTTGGAGGCTGACAAGGATGCAGGGAAACATTAGCTCAGACTTTGGGTGGAATTTAAGAATCAACAGTGTGTTGAAGGATTAAACATGGACTGTGAACTAAAATAGAAACAACCTCAGACATTATATTCTAAGCACTTGGGAGGACAGAGCTACCATTGCTGAAACAATGATCACTAGGATCACAGTCTGTCCTTCTCTCTTCAGCATACCCGGGCTATATTCGACACCCACTCGGGGCTCTTAAAGGAGATTGAGAACCGGGACCAGAAGCTTGTGTTGCCCGTCTACCAAGCCTTCTTCTGGTGAGGAGTGCCCACCATGTCTGGGAGGATGTACATGAATAGAATTTGGTCTTAACTCTCTCCTTAACTCTTGCCTACACTTGCTACAGGTACAATGCCAACTCACTATCGGGAGCCTATGTCTTTACACCTGACAATTTGAAGCCACTGCCCGTGAATCTCTCACCTGAGATACACCTGGTGAAGGTTTGGGGTCATGGGCAATGAGGCGGGTGTCAAAAAAAAAAAAAGCTATCTGGATTTGGTGGGAGGAAGACTACCTATGTGAGTGGAAAAGTCTGGTTTGGATATGTGCCTGGTACTAGGAGGCCTGAGAATCCAAATCACATATGTGTGAGAGGTTTGTTTTTTTTTTAAGATCTCTGGTGTCCTTACTTACAAGCTCTGCCTTTATGGCTACTGAGTTGTGGAATGTTAGCTATGAGAATGTGTACTGGGGTGATTTCTCATTTGATTGTGAGGATTTGGGCTTGCACTAGAATTCAGATTTCCCTCTCATTGCCAAAAACAGGAGAATGATGCCTAGCCTAGAGTTTACAATAAGTATATATAAGTGTATATTGCCACCTTGATTGGACATAGTAGACTCACACCTAGAGTAGAAATCATGATTCCACTCTAGGTTTTATATTTGAAAGGACTTGGAGGAGATATTTAGGGGCCACATGGAGGTAGACATTGATTCCAATACCCTCTGTTGTTGTTTTTGTTGTGTGCCATCAAGTTGGTACCAACTCATAGTGCCCTATGTACAACAGAACAAAATATTGTCCGGTCCTGGGCCAACTTCACAGTCAATGCTACACCTGAGCCCATTACTACCACATTGTGCCAATCCATCTCATTGGGGGTCTTCCTCTTTTTCTCTGACCCTCCACTTTACCAAATATGATATCCTTCTACAGTAACTGGTCCCTCCTGATAATATATCCAAATTATAAGAGACAAAGTTAGGCCATCTGGCTTCCAAGGAGTACTCTGGATGTATTTCTTCCCAAAACAGACCTATTTGTTCTTTTGGCAGCCCATGGCACTTTCAATATTCTCCTTCTACACCATAACTCAAAAGCATAAATTCTTCTACGGTCTTCCTTATTCACTGTCCAACTTTCACATGCATATGAGGTTATGGAAAATATCATGGCTTGCATCAGGTTCACCTTAGTCCTCAAACTGACATCTTTGCTCTTCAGCACTTTAAAGAAATCTTGTACAGCCGATTTGCCCAATGCAATACGTCGTTTGATTTCTTAACTGTTGCTTCTACAAGTGTTGATGGTTGGCCTAGCAAAATGAAGTCTTTGACAACTTCAATCTTTTCTCCGTTTATTTGGATGTTGTTTATTGGTCCAATGGTGAGAATTTTTGTTTTCTTTACATTGAGGTGCAACCCATAATGAAGGCTGTGGTCTTTGATCTTAATCAGTTAGTATTTCAAGTCCTCTTAGCTTTAAGCAAGCAAGGTTGTATCATCTGCTTATCACAGGTTGTTCATGGCACGTTTTTCTTCATATAATTGAGCTTCTTGAATTATTTGCTCAGCATACAGACTGAATAAATATGGTGAAAGAATACAACCCGGACGCACACCTTTCCTAATTTTAAACCATTCAGTGTTCCCTAGTTCTGTTCAAACTGCCTCTTAGTCTATGTGCAAGTTCCTCATGAGCACAATTAAGTGTTCCAGAACCCTCACACTTCTCAGTGCTGTGGGCATCCATCTTTTTGCTATGGTGAATAATGTTTCAGTCAACATGGAGGTACATATATCTGTGTCCGTTTTTATTTCTAGAGGATCTATACCAAGCAGAGGGATTGCTGGATCAAATGGTATTTATACTCCCAATTTTTTTTAGAAAGTGCCAAACGATTTTCCACAATAGTTGCATCATTTTACAGTCCCACCAGCAGTGTAGATGGGTCCCAGACTCTTCATTTCCTTACCAGCATTTCTTGTTTCCTGTTTTGATATATTTTTTCCATCCTTTGATTTTTAGTCTATTTTTGTCTTTGTGTGCAAGGGGTGACTCTTGTAGATAGCATATTAAAGGATCTTACTTTCTTATCCATTCTGCTATCCTCTGGCTCTTGACTGGTGCTTTTACTCCATTTACATTCAGTGTAATTATTGATAGGTATTAATTGATTATTGTCATTTTTCTGTGTGTTTTTTTTGTGCTGCTGGCTTCTTTGCTACACATAATTTTCTGTGTTGAGTTCATTTTGTTGGTGGGTTTTCTTTTCATTTTCTTCACTGCATTTGTTTTAATGTTTGTTAAATCTTTCTGGTTTTTCACTCTTTTACTTTGATGTGAAGTTGTATTCATTTTCTTTGAAGTTACTTTGTAATTTATTGATTTCTTCCCCAGTTCAAAACAGCCTGTTTTATCTTACCTTGAAATTCACTTGACTTCCTTTTAATGTGGAAGTCCTGTGTCTGCACTATCTCCTCTTTTTGCTTTGTAGTTGTCTTCATTATAAGTTGATGTCTTTGGTTCCCTATTGTCAGTCTTATAGGCTTGTTTTACTTTAAATATTTCTGTATCTTGATGGAATTCTTAGGAGTGTTGTCATGTTTGTTAATCTTAGGTTTTTGTCTGTTGGTGGTGGTTCTTAGTACAAAGAACACCCTTCAGTATTTTTTGTAAAGTTAGTTTGGTTATTACAAAGTCCTTTAATTCTTTTCATTTCTATTTATCTGGAAATGTCCTGATTTCATCATCATATTTAAGGGACACCTTTGTTGGATATGTGATTCTTGTTTGACTTTTTTTTCTTCTTCTTCAGAGTTTTGTATATGTCATTCGATTGCTTTCTTGTCTGTATGACTTCTGCTGAAAAATTAGAGCTTAGTCTTATTGGTTCTCCTTTGTAGGTAACTTCTCATTTTTCCTGAGCTGCTCTCAGGAATCTTACCTTGCCTTTGGCCTTGGAAAGTTTGATCATGATATGTCTTGGTGATTTTCTTTTGGGATCATCCTGTTTGGGGTTCATTCTACTTCTTGAATGCTTATCTTCTAATTTTTCATAATGTTAGGGAAATTTTCTTCCAATAAGCCTTCAACAATTTCTTCTGTTCTTTTTCTTTTTCTTTCTTTCTTTCTTTCTTTTTTTTTTGGTCTCTTTCTATTCTTGAATTCTGATCAAATGTAAGTTATTTCTCTTCACTCATTCCCATATAGATCTTAGTCTTTCTTAAGGTTTTTTTTTTCTTCTTCTTCTTTTTCTTCTTTTCTCTGTTTTTATTGCATTCTAGTATTGAGAAATTTATCTTCCAGCTCACTAATTTGGGCCACTCTCTTGTGTTTCTTCATGTGAACTGAAGTTGCCTGGTGTCTCTGAGATGTTGTGGTATCACTGTGTTTGTATTTAATTGATGATGTTAGGCTGGCATGTCCTTAGGTTCTCCCCAGTTGCCTCATGTTGGGTGTGATTAGAGAATGGAAGCATGTGCACAGTTCTCTGTTTACTGTTTGTGCCGCTCTGTTTAGAGTGGTTTGGGCTGTGTTAACTGTTGCCTATTATTGACCAGGTGGTATAGGAGATGGTAGTGACTTCTGCTCAGTATGTGGAGCTGCAGAGGGTATGGTTGTGTCTGAGCTATATGGACACGATTTCTGTCACACTTCAGGTGAGGCACACACGTGCAAGAAAATAAAACAAGACAAATAGTGTGGGGGGGAGGACATAGGAGGAAAAAAGAGAAAAACAGGCAACAACAAGAAAAAAAGAATATAATAGCTAAGAAGAGAAAAAGAGGGACAGCAAAATAGAGCTATAGAAGGGAAAATAAAGAACTTGGGAGAGGAAGATGTAAAGATAAAGAGACTAGAGCGTAGTAAAGAAAGATGAAGAGGGAAAATATTTTAAAAAAAGAAGAAATGGAAGTGGAAATAGAAAAGATAAAAAACAAGGGAAGAAAAAGAGGAAGAATGAGAAGAAAGAACAAACAAATATAAACAACAAAAGGGGGAACCGCAGTACAGGTACTAGACCCAGAGGAAAAGACTCTGTGGGATTCTTGAAAGCCAAGGAATTCATGAGGAGGACTGGGGAGAGATGAGACGGCAGAATTGCCAGCTCTACATGGAATTCCTATAGTCCTAGATATTGTCTGTCAGGAGGAGTGGGCAATTGGGACAGGACAGCCAGCCACAAGAGCTCCTGCTAGTTCAAGACTGACCTCTGTGAGCTCTCTACATCTGGAGCAAAGTCTGTCCAAATCCAGGTACCAAAGCATCACAGTTGGCTCCTGCGTCGCTCTATTTTGGCCCACAACCACAACCACAAAGCTCTTAACTCACGGATAGCAGGTGGCTGCATGAGGGGTGGACAAGGGTAGGGACAGGCCACATCTGTTCATCAGGGGAGTGTGGGGAACAAGAAAGAATCACATCTTTCCTTTAATCAGTCGCTGGTATGAATCTATCCCCATAGCTGCCTACAAAAGTTCAAAATGGCCAGTCCACATCTGACCAAGAGACTACTCACCAGTATGTCTCCCTCCTTCACTACCGCTCCTCAACTTCTCCCCCCAGTAAGTATTCAATCCACTTCTCTGTCCTTTCCTCTGAAGCCCAGGATCCCAGGATTATCATCTGTGTCTGTTTCGTTTGGTCTCCTTTATCTTTGTTGTACAGGATCCACGTGTAGTGTATCTGCCTAGTCCATTCAAGTTGTTGATATTCTCCCACAACTCTTCTGGGAGACTCATTAATGCATCAAATCTGTTCTGAAGGTGGTCTCTAAATTCATGTGGGATATGTTCAATGCCATATTTTAGTTCTTGTATACTTGTTATCACTTTTTTCAGCTGCAACCTGAACTTGCATATAAGCAATTGATGGTCGTTTCCACAGTTGGCCCCTGGCATTGTTTTGGCTGTTTCCATTGAACTCCTCCATCATCTCTTCCCACAGATGTAGTCAATTTGATTCCTGTATTTTCCATCTGGTGAGGTCTATGTGTATCGTTGTCATTTCTGTTGTGAAAAAGGGTATTTGCAATGAATAAGTAGTTGGTATTGCAAATTCTATCATGTGATCTCCAGTATTGTTTCTATCACCAAGGTCATATTTTTCAACTACTGATCCTTCCTCTTAGTTTCCAGTTTTCACATTCCAATTTTTGCAATCACCAGTAATTATCAATGCATCTTGAATGCAAGCTTGATCAATTTCAGATGGAAAATTTTGGTAGAATTCTTCAATTTCATTATCCTGGCTTTAGTGGTTGGTGTGTAAATTTCAATAATAGTGATATTAATCGGTCTTCCATGTAAGCCTATGGATATTATCTTATCACAAACAGTATTTTACCTCAAGATAGATCTTAAAATGCTCTTTTTGATGATGAATGCAATGCTATTTATTCCTCTTCAATTTTTCATTCCCAGCATAGTAAATCATATGATTGTCTGATTCAAAATGGTAAATACATGACCATTTCAGCTCATTAATACCTAGAATATCAACCTTTATGTGTTCCATTTAGTTTTTGATGATTTCCAATTTCCTGAGCTATTTCATATTTTCCATGTTCTAATATGTAATCAATGTCTGCAGCTGTTTCTTCTCATTTTGTGTTGTACTCCATCAGCAAATGAAAGTCCCAAAACTATGCTCTATCCATATTATGAAAGTCAGCTCTACTTTGCAGAGGCAGATAGCTTGTCCCTGGTCATAATTCAGTGCCTTCCAACCTGAGGGACTTATCTTCTGGCACGATATCAGATAACACTCCACTGCTATTCATAAAGTTTTCAGTGACCATTCAGAAAGGGATGGCTCTGTAGGATAAGCACTGGACTAGGAGCCACAAAGTCAATGATTCAAACCCACCAGCTGCTCCACAGGAGAAATACAAGGCTTTCTGCTCCCACAAAAATTTACAGTTTCAGAAACCCTATTCAGGGTCACTATGAGTCATTGTCAGGAGGGACCAGTTGCTGGAGACGGATATCGTGTTTGGTAAGGTGGAGGGTCAGAGAAAAAGAAGAAGACTCCCAATGAGACGGATTGGCCAAGTGGCAGCATCGATGGACTCAAGCATGGCAACAGCAGTGAGCTTGGCCCAGGATCGGGCAGTGTTTCATTCTGCTGTGCATAAGGTCACAATGGGTCGGTACTGACTGTATGGCACCTAACAACAACAAATGAGTCATTTAACAACAACAATATGCCATTCAGAAGTGGCCCACCTCTCCTCCTTCCTAGTCTGGGCACTAAACCTGTCCACCATGGGTGAGCCTGCTGGTATTTAAAATGGTTGTGGCATAGCTTCCAGCATCACAGCAACACACAAGCCACCACAGTGTGACAAATGACAGATGAGTGGTGATCATATCATATAGGTGATTTTTATTATTCTATGATTTTGTTAACTCAGGGGGTAGTTTGGGTTCATTATTTAAGGAGTATTCCAAGGCAATAATCTCTAGAGTCCTTCAATCTCTACCTGTTGAAGTTGTCTGTTTTGTGTGTAGTTTTGCTTTTGTTTTTTTAAGGAATGGTTCACATTTTTCTCCCATTCTCCAAACTATTGTGGATCCAATTAGAACGTTCAGTAGGGTACTATCTAATTCTTCTTGTCTCCAGATAGATGAGGCTGTAGGCCATGTAGATATTTATCCTGGAGACTAGTTTCTTCTTTTGAATCTGTTGGGCATGTTCATTACCCAAATGATTGAAGTACTGTTTCACGGTTGTATATAAATGTCAAAATTTGGAAGTTGTACCCTTTAAATATGTACAGTTATTTTATTGTAGATGGGGCTGGTGGTGGTGTGCCATGAAGTCGGTTTAAACTCATAGTAACCCTGTATAGGGTTTCTGAAGCTGTAAATCTTTACAGGAGCAGAAAGCCTCATTGTTCTCCTGAGGGAATGGTTGGTAGTTTTGAACTGCTGACCTTGAGGTTAGCAGCCCAACTCATAACCACTATACTACAAGAGCTCCTTTGTATACAGAACTCAATAAAGCTTACCTATTCCATGGACAACAGGAACTGAGATTATTGGGGACAGTGAGCAAAACCAATGACATAAAGATATGTGAGCCTCACTTAGAGGTCATTCATGTTGTTGACTATGAGGTGGGCCTTTATAGAGTTCCCAGCTGATGTAGGACTTTGTGGGGCTCCACACTGCTCTAGATATGGCTTACAGCCGTCCCTATCTATCCCCATGTGTTATCAGACAGCCTTGGTGCAAGAGGTGCACCAGAAATTTTCAGACTGGTGTTCCCAAGTAGTTCGCCTGTACCCAGGACAGAGGCAATTGGAGCTGGAGTGGACAGTGGGTCCAATACCTTTAGAGTAAGTGGACAAAAGTTGGATGACAAGGACGGCAGGGGAATGGTGGAGCCTGGGAAGGGTTAAACTTCCTGTCATCCAATCTGTCTCAGGGATGGCTTTGGAAAGGAAATCATTAGTCGCTTTGACACGATGCTTAAGACAAGGGGACGCTTCTACACAGACAGCAATGGCCGGGAGATCTTGGAGAGGAGGTGGGAATGGGCAAGGACACCATAGGGCAGAGGGTGGCCTATGCATGCTTGAGCCTAGAGATCAATAGGAGTATGTGTGTTCCCCATATGAGTGTTAGTAGAAGATGCGAGAAGGAGTAAAGTCCTGCCAGACTTTCTCCTTCTGCCTCCAGGAGAAATTACCGACCTACCTGGAAGCTGATGCAGACGGGGCCAGTGGCAGGAAACTACTACCCAGTCAACAGTCGCATTTACATCATGGTACCCTGAGACCCCCAGCCTGACCTTCACAATATACAACTCAACCTCTTATCCCCCAGATTGAGAATCAGCCTTTTCCCTGTGTTCCTCAAGCCTATGTCCATATGTTCCCCCTGCTCTATTTCCTTTCTGTGGTCAAGGGAAGACAGACAGAAATGCTTCTCACTCAGACACCCTTACCCCCCAGGATGGAAACGTGCAGCTGACGGTGCTGACTGACCGCTCCCAGGGGGGCAGTAGCATGAAGGATGGTTCCTTAGAGCTCATGGTGAGTGAAAGAAAGTCCCAAGCCAGGAGCCTCCCAGTAGACCTTTCCCAAAACCTCCCACCTGGTCTTAAACTAGAGTCTACACACATACCCTGACCTACACACTTACTTTAGGCTACTCCGGTCATCCTAGCTGAAGTGTACCCAGTTCCCACCCTCATTCTTTTACTGGCCTTTGAGTGTTCTTTGACAACAAGATGTGGACTGTAAACAAAGACCTTTAGACCATGCAATTCCTTTCTCTAGGTCACTCATCTATTCTTGCCCCAAACCTGCCCAGGACTTAGTTCCAGATCCCCACCTTAGGTCCATGTCTCTTCCCTGATCATCTTTCTTGATATGTCTCCTATTTCTTTCTGGTCCCCTGAGAGATTTTTACTCTCAGTCCCGTGAGCTCTTTAACTCATTTCTTACTCTCCCTAACCACTCCCTCATCCTCCACCCAAAAACCTCCACAAGACCTTCACCTGATCACATCCTCTTCCAGGCTCTCACCACTTCCCCAACTGATTTTCTGCCAGGTGCACCGGATGTTGTGCTCAGATGATGGCAAGGGTGTAAATGAACCCCTGTTGGAGCTGGACCGGGAAAACAGGCAGGGTCTAATAGTACGAGGCCGACACCTTGTGCTACTGGACAGGATCCAGAGTGCTGCTGTTGAGCACCGGCTGCTGGCAGAAAAGGTGGTCCTGGCCCCACAGGTGGTGCTGACCCCTGACAGTGGCCGCCTCTGGAGCCACAGAGGAATCAGAAAGGTGAGAGTTCTGAGCATCAGGGAATAGAGAGTGAAGTAGGAGGAGGAGGCAGAGGATGGAGGCTCATGATGCTGAGATGATTGGACAGGGCTACGTGAGGGCCCAGCTCAAAAAGAAACAGCTAAAAACATCGAGTAATAGTCAGAATGTACAGTGCACCAAGGTTTGAGTCCAGGAAAATTGGAAAACATAAAAATTGAAATGGAATGCCTAAAGATCAATTGGTTACGAATAGGGCTGCGAACCACAAGGTCAGCAGTTCGAAACTACCAGCTGTTCCATGGGAGAAAGATGAGGCTTTTTGCTCCTGAAAGGAATTACAGCCTCAGAAACCCTGTACAGAGTCACTATGAGTCAGAACCGACTCCACGGCACATAACAACAACAACAAAGATCAATATTCTAGATATCAGTGAGCTGAAATGAATTGGTACTGGCCATTTTGAATCTGACAGTCATATGGTTTACTATGCCAAGAACGTCAAATTTAAGAAAAATGGCTTCACATTCATTAACGAAAAGAACATTTCAAGATCTAGCTTGAAGTACAATGCTGTCTGTAATAGGATAATATCCATATACCTACAAAGAAGACTAGTTAATAGCATTATTATTCAAATTTATGTACCAACCAGTAAAGTCAATGACGATACTGAAATTGAAGAATTCTACCAACTTCTTGTCTGAAATTGAACAAAAATGCATTGATAATTACTGGCAATTAGAATGTGAAGGTTGGGAAAAAGAGAGGAAGAATCCGTAGTTGGAAAACATGGCCTTGGTGATAGAAATGATGCTTAAGATGACATGATAGAATTTTGCCAACCTTGGGTTCCCAGTCCAGGGCTGATCCTACAGCGCTACAGCAGAAATCCTTATATAGGGTAACAACCACAACGACAATATCATAAGTCAGAGTCCTAGTGTGGCACTGTTGGATAAGCAGTAGACTGCTCACCTCAAGGATGAGGGTTCAAACCCACCAGCAGCGTCTCGGAAACCTTATACAAGATCACTATGAGTCGGAACCAACAAGAAGAAGATCATAAATCGGGGAACCACAAAGTCTTTGGTTCTCTCTGTGGCAGAAAGATGATGCTTTCTGCTCTCTTAAAGTTTCACCTGCCTCAAAAATAGGGTCCCTATGAGTGGGAATAGTCAGGTCAAGCCACGCCCATCTGAAACAATGTTCAGCCTAGATAAAAAAAACAAAACCTTGAGTTTTGGAATGATGCTGGTGCGTAGATAGAAATAAAGGCGCAGCGGTTAAGCCTTAGAAATTTGAGGTAATTTCATTAAGTCACCTCAAACTATGAGAAAGGGAAATCGTTAAGTCTCACTGAGGGATACCCAGTAGCTGTGCATGACAGGGCAATCGATCTCCCTAGGCGCCAGCCCTTTGTGGATCAGTCCAGGTGAGGCTGAGCCTTGCTCCTGGGTAGGTGAGCTTGCCCCTCCTGGATTGAGCCTGCGACCCCTGGGACCCGCCTTCCTCCTACGTCTGGAAGAGCTCGTGCATCTCCAGCTGAGTCCCACCTTGTCCTTAACAGCAGTTCTCTGGGCTGCTACGGGAGCTGCCCCGCGCTGTGCGCCTGCTCACACTGGCCCACTGGGGTGGCAACACGCTGCTTCTGCGTTTGGAACACCAGTTCGCCGTAGGGGAGGACACGGATGGCAATCTGAGTTCCCCAGTGACCCTGGACTTGACGGTGAGCGGAGCAGACATGGGAAGGTGTAAAGTTATGGGAAAAATCCTTAGCCTCTCCATTCATCTGGCCCATCCGCTGCCCACAGAACCTGTTCTCCACCTTCACTATCATCAGCCTGCAGGAAACCACGCTGGCAGCCAACCAGCTTCGGGACCGAGCCTCCAGGCTCCAGTGGACAACAGAAGACGGTTGGGGACTGCCTGGGGCAGGAGGAGTTTGAAAATCGAGGGCAGGGTAGTTGCCCAGAGAAGGGACTTAGGGTCTGAGAGTGGTGTCCCAGATATAAAAGCAGGCGGAGGGTTGATTTCCTGTCAGGCTCCACAACAGGGATTAGATTGTGTAGTGACAAAGCACTAGAGAGACTTAGAAGGTAGAAGATTGTGTCCAAGCGTGGGGAGGGCAATCCAGTGAGGAGGAGGCCACCTTCATTCTTTGTCTCCTTCTACAACCACAGACCCTCCTGCCTCTCAAGCCCCCCACCAGTCCCTGGATTTTGCTGCCATCACACTGCAGCCAATGGAGATCCGCACTTTTCTGGCCTCTGTCCAATGGAAGCATTCTCAGGGAGGCGGGGATACCCCCCGGAGAGCCAGAGCACCCTCCACCATGGGCTTGGTGAACCTCGGCCTCACCATCCTCCTACTGCTGTTGCAAACCATAGTAATTAAACTGCCACCCACCAGCCCCAGGTAGGGGGACGACTGTGAGTCTGCTTTTTCCTCCGAGCGCCAATTTATAAACTCTTCTGATGAACCCTGACAAGCGATCTCTTTGTGTGGGAGTCAGTGACTCACTGGCTGACCACTCTCAGTCCCCTCTCATTCTGGTCCTTGTCCCCATATCAGCTTCTCCCTCCTGGCAAAGTTGCCTTGAGAAGTTGCCCATGGTGGCTCACAGGTCTGACCCTTCCTGGTCTTGAAGCAGCCAGGCCCAGATAACAAGGAGTGAGGATTCATTAGGAAGGCCTAATGGAGCAGGTGGCGTTTGATGCGAGTCCAAGAGCATAGCTTTGGACAAGTGGGATGGAGGTGAGGGCTCTCCAGGAAGAAAGCATGAAGTGGCTTCAGTTCCAAGTAGTAAGGGAGGTCTGGGGTTGTCCTGGGGGTAGGAGTTGTTGTTGTTGTGAAGTGCTGTCGAGTCAGTTCCAACTCACAGTGACCCTATGTAGGGTTTCCAAGGAGTGACTGGTGAGCTTGAACCACTGACCTTGTAGTTCAAACCAATTTTGGAGTGCAGCACATTAACTCACAGTGCCACTACTGGTGAGTCCCAAACTGCAGTTAGAAAGAACTGAATTCATGTTCAGCCTGGTAAGCTTAGGCAGATCCCTTGAGCTCTCTGAACCTCAGTAGCCCCTTGTGTCACATGGCAATTAGGCTACTGTGCAGATTAAATTCTTCATGCAAAATGTTGTTGTTGTTGTTGTTAAGTGCCTTCGAGTCGGAGCCGACCCATAGCGACCCTGTACAGGGTTTCCGAGGGTGTAAATCCTTACGGGAGTAGAAAGCCTCATCTTTCTCCCACGGAGCAGCTGGTAGTTTCGAACCACTGACCTTTAGGTTCGCAGTCCGATTCGTAACCACTACGCTAATGTAGGCCTTCCTTTTTGCTGTATATACTAATGATACTGTGGAATAGGAATGAGGCTAGACAGGCAGGATCAAGTCATATCAAACTTGAAATGTTTGACTGAGGAGCTGGGAATTAAGGACACTAGGGAGCTATGGAAAGTGTGTGAGTAGGGGTGAGACAGGGTCAGGTCAGTGATGCAAAGACTCCTCTCAGGCAGCAATGAAGGGGTAAGAATTGAAAGCTGGCCGCTGCGGAGGCGCCTGTGACACATATTGGGGTCTGGGTCACAATTGTAGCCATGGGGATGGTGACTATTAGATGGGCTCTGATGTCCTTTGGGGTAGAGATGCTGGGATTTATTGATGAATGCCATGTAGGGATGAAGGAAAGAGTCAACTCAAGTTGAGATCTGGATGTGGGGCTGGATAAGGAGGCCACAGACACGTGCAGGCAGAACAGTTAAGGGTAGTGGGAAGGGGTGGAGTATGAGAATCACGAAGTCTCTTTTGTCCCTGGCCTTGTACATGCCATTTCCTCTGGATGCTTTTCTTTATTAGGTTTGCCTGAATGACCTTTGAGACACTTCTTAAAGACAGTGTCTCTTCTGGAAAGCCTGTGGAATAGCCCCAATTCACACCCACAGATGTCACTACAAGCCTCTGTTTCCCCATGTATCTCCCTATCCAGAATAAGCATGCCAAGACCAAGGTCTGACCCTATGTATACAATTTAGTACAAATAATATTGTCGCAAATAGATCAGAAAGCAATTACTCCAGAAGACAATGGAGTCTAAATGAATGCCTTTCTTTAATGCCCAGAGCAGGTTCCTATAAGATGTCCCAAATGGCCAGCTTCTCTATGCTGTTAGCTCACTCTGTCATCTTTGACCCCATATACTTCCCTTCCTCTCAGTACTCGTCTTCCATCTTTGGGTGGGTAATTCACTGCAATGGCCCACAGAATTCCCAAGCTGTGCTTAGAGTTCAGTGGTTCATTAGGAAAATGTTGTGTTGCTAAGTGCCATCGAGTAAATCCGACTCATAGTGACCCTGTATCAGGTCTCCAAGGAGTGATTGGTGGGTCTGAACTGCCAATCTTGCAGTTAGCTTATGGTTAGCAGTTCAGTGCTTATCCTACAGCACCATACCAGGACTGCAAATAAGGGAAGAAGCAGGCTACAAGCCAGCATTAGGAGTAACTTAAAGTAACAGGAACTCCAGGAAATAGGTTTCAATTCATCAACAGGACAGCTTCTATATGAGACTGTTCTCAGCATTCACTGCCACTTCACTCTCCCTACTGCTACCAGGCTGTACCATCACTTAGCTGCTTCTCACCGTGGTTCTTGGCACAACTTCTCACCGTCTTGTGCTGTTTCTTGCTGTCTTCAGCGTTAACAGCTTCTCCTTTCTCTCTCCATCTCTCAAAACCTCTGTCAGGTAAATGGCTGATACAGCAAGTTCCTTATCAATTTCTAAGCCTGCCCCCCAACCAGAAAGACCACTATCAATCCCATAGTTAGCTGCATTGACCAATCCCAGCAAGAGTTTTATGCATCTTATTTGTATATAGTCTCAGCCAATCATCATTTTGTGGGAGTGGGATAAAGCACTGGTTTGAACCACAAATTCAGCAGTTCAAACTCACCAGCCACTCCTTGGAATCCTTATGGGTCAGAACCAACTCAACAGCACTTAACAGCAACAACAAGACAATGACCAGAAAGGCCATATAAAAAGAGAAACCTACTAGAGAGGTTGGCCCAGGATCGGGCACGGTGTCGTTCTGCTGTGCATAGGGTCACTATGAGTCAGTACCGACTCGAGGCACCTAACAATAACAACTGCTCCACAGTTCACCCCTTGGCCTTTTTAGGCTATGGGTTTTTACACATACATAATGGAGTCCTGCTGTGGTGCTGTGGGTTAATGTGCCAGACTGCAAAGCCGTTTGAACTGCAAGGTCAGTGGTTCAAGCTCACTAGCTGCTCCTTGGAAACCCTATACTTGATGGCACTTAACAACAACCAAGATGGCTAAGCTTCGTCTCTCATACTTTGGACACATTGTCCGGAGAGAACAGTCGCTGGAGAAGGATGTCATGCTGGGTAAGGTGGAGGGTCAGAGAAAAAGAGGAAGACCCCCAACGAGATGGATCAGCCAGGTGACATCATTGATAGTGTCAAGTGTGGCGGCGGTAGTGAAGTTGGCCCAGGATCGGACATTGTTTCGTTCTGCTGTGCATGGGGTCGCTATGAGTCGGTTCCGACTCGATGGCACCTGACAACAACAACAACAACAATGTTTAGAAGATTACTTCCCTTTGCCCATATATTTCACCAGTCCAACAAGTCATTAACAATGAGTCCTTCAGTAGGCCAAAGAGCCTGCAGGGTGAGGTTAATCAGGGACCAGCCACTCAGGTCTGCCGCAGGTGCTCACGTGATCTGGTCAGGCCCACTCTTTCTGGCATCTGATGAAATTTAACCTGTAGTTGTTGTTGTTAAGTGCCATTGAGTCAGTTTCGACTCATAGCAACTCTGTCTAGGTGTTCTGAGCAGCAGCTGGGGGGTTTGAACCAACCTTGTGGTCCAGTGCATTATCCTTACAGAATGTTATGTTCTTCCTCTGAGTCTCTCTCAAGGTATTAATGTTCGATTTCTTCTGCTGCACAGCCCATTTATTTATTCCTTAACCTTTCACTATTATTTTCCTTTCTTCCATTTGTCATTGACTTTTAACCAAAGTTTTCCACCTTGGGAAGGAAGCTGCTTTGGCAGTCCAGATAGCTGGCAGCAAGTCCAGCCTAGCAAATGCTTCCCCCTCAGTCTATTCCCATTCATACTGAGTAAACTTACACAGGTACAACATTAATGGGATGTCTCAATTATACAATACAGCATTATTTGCTGACAACCCTAATTTTGACAGATGGGAGGAAGACACAATCCACTCCATGAGACCCTTAGGAACTCTGGCATACAGATTCAGGGTAATAGTTATAGCCTCTTCTAGCTTCGACAGCTGTATCCCTGGCCCTGGGACCACAGCATGCTACAGGGAAAAGATGCCATGTTAGGTGATGTGGAGGAAACTCCAGTGGCACCAGAATCTCTTCCCCCATCCTTCTTCCCCAGATCCTCTAGAGAAGCATGAGCATTTATAAAGCAGTGATTTTCCCTTTGCTCTCTTCATGCTGAGCGTGAGCACACATTCATGAAGGTATTTAAGTGATCCTGTCATGCCTTTATGTCACCTGGACTTAGATAACAAGTGTTCCAATTGCTCATTCCAATTTTCTATCAAACTATTACTCTAATGATGACATGCAGTGTGGTATGTTTATTTCATGGCTCTTTGCTGCACACTTGGTTTGATGAACTGCGGGGGTTCCTGCCCTCCGCGGGGGTCGTGGGACACAAGCGAATATGCGGAAACGTGGGGTGAAGAAATGAATGAATACAATCGAAAGGCTTTTCAATTTGCCTTGCTGTCTGGCTATGCTCTCCAGCTTCTGCTACCTCTGCTTCTGATTTCTGCTCTTTGCTGTCTGCCCTCTGCTCTCTCTGCTGTCTGCCCTCTCCCTTATCCCTCCTGCTCTCTTCTTCTTCCCCCTAGCTCTGCCAGTTCCTTCACCTTGTGCTGTCTGGCTGTTCTCTCCAGCCTCTGCCTTCTGCTTCTACCTCCTCCTGCCACTTCTGCCAGCCCAGCTCAGCAAGTCTTTATTTTTTATACTTAAAGTTACACAGTACATAATGAACTAACACTTTGATCTTTTCTTGAATTATTACACAGTTAATCACAACATTCTTGCACCTGGTCATTAGACAACTTTGACAAAAATATTTCTGTGATGTTCAACTGACCTTCATCTCTTTCTTCAGTATATGATAAACGGTTTCTTCTTGTGTTCACTTAAAGATTAAGTCAAACCGTACACAAATCATTGCTACTTATCAGACTGATTACACTTTCTTAGTAACATAAGTTTCTACTAATCATTAATGCTTGCACTACTTCATTATTCCTACTAATTATCAACTTTCTATCCTACATAATGTATTATTATTTTTGTAATAAAGGTATAACTAACATCTACTTATTTATTTTTCTAAAGTAT